CGAACTTACCATTTGGCTCTCTCATTCACAAGCTGTGTGACTTGGGACAAGTCACTTAACCTCTCTGAGTTTTCATTTCTTTGCTTATAAAATATGGAAAGCCTTCCTGCCTCCCACTCAGGATTGCTGGAAAGGTTCAATAGAATCCTATGTGAAGGGCCGTCAAGGGTAAGACGCGGTTTTCATTTTGCATGGTGTGTGGCCTGGCTGAATGCTGGAGCTTTACATATATGCCTGTCTCATTTAATTCTCACATCACATCAGTGAGATACGAAGTCATACTACTGGATCCATTGTAAAGATGAGAAAACTGAGGTGCACCAAGAAGTTCAGTGGATTACCCAAGAGTCTAGGCAACAACGGAGCCAGGCTTTGGACCCAAGCATTTTTATTCAATGGCCTGAGATTCCCCCCAGTATGTTCTCCTGGCACAAAATAAGTATTCTGATGACTGTGGAGTAATGAAAAAGGTTTCACCTGAGGTGCAACTTTTGTCAGCAGACTATTTTTCTCTTGACTGCTAATTAATGTGGCATTTCCCTGATGTGATTTTTTTCCTCCCTCTTCAACTCAAACAGGCAGAAATTCCCGTCTTTCAATAGAAAAAATGTATTGTCGGACATGCCTCTCTCTTTCCTCTCCTCCCCTGGGAATGCAACTCTATCACATGTCCGCTGAGGTTTTTGTCCTTCAGACTAACCAAGTCCAGATGGTTTTCGCAAGTTCAGCATCGTGGGTCGCAAAGCGTTTGTAGTTATCTACTGAGACACGTTCTGGACTAAATCGTAAACACCCGCTCCCCAAAGGACTCCCCGCACACTCTTCTCCCTTGTTTGTGCGATGGCCTGTCTGTGCTAATGAACTTGTAAATGTGGTTTAATTACTGTTTACCGAAAAATAGCTGCACACACATCAGTCTCGGTGGGAGACGTAGCCCAGATGTTGAGGCCATTTGTTTCTGGTGCAAAACAGCTAATAAATGAGAAGAGCTTTTTTTAAACATTGGGAAAGGAACTTTGGTTTGGTTTTATATATTTGGGGAAGTAGATCATTTCTTAAGAGAGTGGATTTAAATATTGGAATGGCACTTTCTCCCCCCGCCCCCCCGAGGCCAGGCACACGGTGATGTGCACAGAGCCACAGTGTCATAAAAAGCATAATAATGGTGATTTGATGGAACACCACACCAAAGAGCTATATTCCGAAGAACTCCCCAAAAGGAAAACTCAGAATTGCTTGTAAATTCCGGCAAATGTTTCAGAGCTCTGTAAACCCATGTATTATGTATTACCTCATGTTTCTGAATTCTTGCCTCGGGCAAATTGCCAACTTAGCAACTAAATGACAGTTTGACAATTCTAATAAAAACCAGCCTCTCTATCTTTGCTTGTATTCCTTCAGGAAAAAGAAGAAGAAGAAAAAAACAACAACATGAGAGGGGAGTGAAAGTGATTGGAAGCTTCCATTTATGAATTCTGTTTGTGCTCCAGTGGAGTTGGAGTTGAGTTTTATGCATAATAAAATTCAACTCTTGCGTAATAAAATGCTTGCCTGCTCTGTTCTCCCTGCCCCTCCAAGAAGCCGGCCTGGGAGCCAGAGAGGGACTAGGTCTGCCTCCAGTGCAGACCTCGGAAAACCAAAGTCACCAGGGCAATTAGTAAGGGGTGCTTGTCACATCCTGAACTGTGGCTATTATGAAAGAAGTCTGAGCAGTGTGAGATGCAAACGCTGCCCTCCAGGAATTTATTTTAGAGGGAACAACAGTCAGGTACACAGACAATTCAATATAAGAGACCCCAAGAGTGGGAGGTGGGGGCAATGGGTGAAGGTGGTCAAAGGGTGCAAACTTCCAGTTATAAGTTCTGGGATGTAATGCATGGTGACTAGTTAACAATACCGCCTTGTATACTTGAAAGTTGCTAAGAGAGTAGATCTTACAAGTTTCTATCACAAGAAGAAAATTGTAACTATGTGTGGTGGTTGGCATTAACCAAACCTATTGTGATGATCGTTTCACAGTATATACGTATTATTAGGTTATTATGTTGTACTAGAGG